AAGGAAGGAAGGAAGGAAGGAAGGAAGGAAGGAAGGAAGGAAGGAAGGAAGGAAGGAAGGAAGGAAGGAAGGAAGGAAGGAAGGAAGGAAGGAAGACCTGGTTGTTGGTTAATGGTCTCGTTAATGGTGAAGCTTTTCATCAAATCCCACAGGCACAGGCAGATGGGGGCTTTAGACACTTCCAGGTACTCCACATAAATTGAGGTTGCCATTTAAGTGCAGACAGTTGCGCACAAAGTTGCACCACGCGGGGACTGAAGATGAACCTGCTCTTGGTGCATGTCTTGCTTTGGGAAAACGAAAGCTGGCCCCATGGCTTCCTCCTGGCCTGGAAGCGCATGAGGAGTCCCACCAACTTCCTGGGAAACCAGGCACGTGCACAAAGAGGTTTGTAGAGGATGCCCTTGTCTACTTCTTTATTTTTATTTTTTGTGCAATTTGTGTGATTCTGTGAACGGGACGCTGAGCAAGAGCGTGCTTGTAGGCTCGCCGAACCCCAGTGAGTCACGGAGGCCAGTCACCGGCAAAGCCCCGCCGTGCTGCTCTGAGCTCCGGAAAACACACAGGTGTTTCTGAAGAGGGAACTAGCAGAGCTCCAGATTCCTGTCCTCGGGCTTAAGGAAATATTTATTCTTGGTGCCGTTGAGCAATCGGATGGCAGCAGAAGCTGTGTGTCATGGATGCTAAAATTACTTTCTCGCTCAAATGAATCTTCAGACAGATATTTCAGAGAAGATAAAGTTGCACGGGCCCCTTTCCCTTAAAAGAAAAAAAATCTGGAAGAACAAGCTCGGGGGTTTCCACATATTTTTCCCATGTCATCTCTGAACAAGAACTTGAGCCTCCATGAGGACTGCTCATTAGCAATAGCACCGGTTTTGCAAAAACTGAGATGCGGTGGGACACACCAAGGGGTAACTGCTTTCAGATGACACCCTGCTCTGTGCGCTTTTTTCTGGAGAGCTCTCAGGCCGTCTTTCATCACTCCACTAAGCAGATCACATTTTTCCTCCATCCCCACTGCATACCTAAAGCTTCCATGGGAGGGAAAGAGGCCTCTCTTACGCCTGCCTTGCACACCGCTTGCTCCTCAAGAGCCTTCACCTTGCCTGCTCTAGAGCTACAACATGTCTGCTCTTCAGGGGGCTTTATTGCCTTCATCGAGAGGACTGAGCTCTCACCAACAATTCCTGATCACATCTGCAGCAGCCCCTCCAACCACAGGGCCAGGCATCCTGCTAGGACTGCCTCTGCAGTCCCTGGCTCCTTTTTTCTCCTTCAGATCCGGGCTGCTCCCTCTCCTCCCACGCATCCAACTTGCATGCCCAGAGCCCTTCAGCTACCTGCCTGCCTGCCTAGCTGGGCTCAGCAGTGCGGCTGAGCAAAACCAGCTTTTCTCCCTTTGTTGCCACGCTCAGAGCCTTGCCTAAAACCGTTCAAGAACAAACAGCGACTCTGGGCGTAGCTGGGCGCTGCTCCATGGTTGGCACCACGCCGTAGTAACACGCATCATGGACGCTCTTTACAACCCAGTTACTGCGGGCTTATAAAGGGGAAGAGGAGCTTTATGTGAAAAACTTCACAGTCGCGTGGACATTAGGTGCCACAGTCCCTTCACAGAGACCCTCCTTACTGTTGGTAAGAATTAAATCAAGGCAGCACACAAGCCACAGCTGCGCAATTCCAGTTATTCACTTGCAGGTCTGCACCTCACCACGAAACTCTCAGATTGTGAATGAAATGCTTCTTGGTGATGTCAACTTTCCAGTGACCAGTAAACCACATCACAGAACCACCATCACGTGGTCAAATATAGCCGGGAAATGGCACAGGCTAAAAACTAAATGTTATTTCTCTGTTAAAAATAGGCCCTTGAAACTCTACACTAGCCCGAATACCTAAAGAGTCCAGCAAGCACATAAAGGATAAAACTGTAAATGAAGGAATGAAGCGAAATCCCTAATAACGTGACCAGGAGGTGGACAGCAGTGGAAGCCCCACTTGTGACTGGGGCTTTTATCCTTTATCCTTTATCCCAGTTTTATCCTTTATGTTCTTGCTGGATTCTTTAGGTTCCGACTGTGCCTTGGTCTTTGTGCCCAGCCCAAGGCCAGCACACCTGGGAGAGGCGGCCC